AAGAAACAAACCAGAACCGAAGGGGCCACAAGAAACCGAGGAGAAGAAAAGAGAGCACTCTGTCCAACAACCAGGACGGCTAAGGCTGTGCATGAGCAGGCCGGAGGTGAACCAATGCACTAGACAGCTTGCGGAATGGCGCAGAAGTAACATTAACACCAAACGCAAGTGGAAGCGGCTTCGCCAGCACCGCACGATACGAGGTGACAGTATGTGGCAAAATGACGGCCCCGAACCCTCACAAGAGAAGGACAAGACCACACCAACAAAACATAGCTACCTAAGGGACAGAAGGATAAAGGAAGGACCGCCAAAATCTCACCGCCAGCAAGCACGCCAGGAGGTCTGAGACCATGGCCCCAACTGAGACACGAGAGAAGGGACACTACGAGACGTGGAAAAAGTCAACAGGCAGGGAAAGCCAGGAACCAGAGATCCAAACCTGGCAATAGGAGAGCCAAAAGGCACAAACAAAACACACAACGTGTAGGAGAAAAGAAAGCTGAGGAACGAAGAAGGCAGGCAGCAAATGGGAACGAAAAGCACGCCAACAACACACCGTCGTTGGTCAGGTCCCAACACAAGACTAAACCGAAAAAAGGGGCGCCACCAGACCAGCACCAGAACCGAGGGGTATGAGCTAAGATGAGAGACAACGGGAAGGAAACCGCACGTCAGCAGGAGACAGAAGAACCAGAGGGGACAACACCACAACAAGCAAGACCCTCAGAGGAAATGAGAGGGTAGACAAAGACAGACCAATAAACACAAGGGGCACACGTACCAGGGGACACAGGTGGAACGGATGCCCAATGAGCAAAAGAAATGACAGAAGGATTCCAGCGTCAGAGTAGGAAACAAATGGAATGCATGAGGAAGGGATGTGGTGGAGGCAGACCCCACACACAGTGTCAAGTGTAGATACAACAAAGCCCAGGAGGCTCGGGAAGCTGTACCTAAGTCAAACGACAGGAGACATCAAAAACCCAGAGCGCAACCCCTGCAAACACAACAAAGTAAGCACAACAAGGTAAGCACAGAGGCCATGTAAATGGCAGGTGAGTGACAGAGGGGCAGGACTAAAGAGCCAAAGCGCAATCCTGGCAAGCACAATGAGGTGAGGACAGCTAGAGGAGTAGAGAGAACCCAACGTATCTGGAAGGGCTAAGCCAGGCACTGCCAGGCGGGCAAGGAATGAGTGATCCAGAGAAGACCTTTCTAACAAATGGTACAGACAAACAAGGAAGGCCCCAGGAGGAAACACACAAGGGCCAAACAAAACGCCACAACCCACCTCAACACGCATCCTCAGTAACAAAACTGCATCAAAATGTCACCTCATAACATCCTGGCACAGTAACATGTACCTCATAACATTCACCACCACCACCATTGTACCTCGTAACCTGGTGGAGGTGGAGCCTCGGGACTGATTCAAGCATGGGTTGGACATGCATACGAGTTTGACTGGATGGGTACAATGAGGAGCTGCCTCGCATGGGCCAATAGGCCCCCTGCAGGCACCTGCATTCTGCCGTACTCACATTCGAACCTTAAAGACCAAGGGTTCGCCTGGCTGAAAGAGATGCCAGACCGCATAAACTCACCTGCAGAATGGAGGCACGAATGTGTCACGGCACAACGTAGTCGAGAAGATGCCGAGAGCACCGCCAGGGAAAGAAGGCCAGAGCCGCACACGCAGAAGGGGAGGGGAGAGGCGAAGGAGGCGCCCTGCACCCATAACACGGGGAAAACCCCGGCCTCACAAGAAAAAACCGGGGCAGCCACGAAAAGTACTAAAGAAGGGAGCCCACTGGCAGACTCATACAACACGGCTGGAGGAACAGGCTTGAATACCCCCGTCGCTACCCCAGAAGGGGAATTCCCCAATACTGCCCGAGTCTTAAAATCATCGAAGCTCCGCCCTGACCCTGAACCCACAGACGGTAAAAACCCGGATGCAGGGAGGAAGGGAAGGGGGGGCGACTAGACCACAACAGGGAAAAGACAAGGGGGTGTGGAAGGAAACTGAAGCAACCAACACCCCCAAGCCCCGTCACACCAACCAAAATGGGGCAGTCTCTGGGCTTCCGGAGAGCAAGCACCACAGAGCGTCACCACCACCGAAACTCAACTTGCAACGCCTGTGCTGCCTGTACCCGCATAGTCAGCATAAGACTGGATAATCAAGTCACAAACAAGGAACAAAACTCATAGGACTCCGAGACGAAGGTGCCACTGACCCCACAGGCAAAAGACCGAGGCAAGGACCGTGAGAGTCACCCTGAGCCAAGGGGAAAGAGCAACCATCAACCTCGCACAAAACGAGAGGGGACTCGAGGGTCACATCCATTGGACCACGGAGACCCAGCGGAGTTTCCAAGGGCCCAAAGCCTTGCTAACACACTAAGGGAAGTCCAGGCAGTGAACTGCGAACTGGCACCCAAAACTACCAAGCAAACTTCTAAAAGCTGAACCCCTGGGATGTGTCCACTCACGGGGGCCAAGCACGGGGGTACCACCAAAAACACAGAATTGTCTACCTAAAGACCTCCCCCCCCCCACACAAGATAAATAGGGAGCAACCAAACAAAGGCAGACCCACCCACCAGGCAGAAAACAAAAACAAAAGGAAAACCCCGCAAGAGGACAACGTACCCAAGTGGAAGTGGAATAGAGCCGACCGCTTTAAGAGGCGAGAACTAGCTGTGTAGTACCCTGCGCCCCTACCAATGATGAAAACTACCTCCTACCCCAACCCATTCTCGCACTTGCTTATAGTCAATATTGGCTTATTTAATAAGTGCATATGTGACATACTAATTGATTGTGAATAGTTTATCTTGAAAAGCTTCATAGAAAACATCGACCTCACCTAACCTTCTTAGTATGTTTGTTAAGATAAGCATCTTATTGCTTCTTAATTACAATTATTACTTAACCTATACTGTTGATAGGTTAAGTAATAATTGTAAATAAGAAGCAATAAGATGCTTATCTTAACATACTAAGAAGGTTAGGTGAGGTCGGTGTTTTCTATGAATCTTTTCAAGGTAAACTAAAATATTCACAATCAATTAGTATGTCACATATGCACTTATTAAATAAGCCAATATTGATTGTAAGCAAGTGCAAGATCGGGTTGCCTACCCAGAGGCAAACAAGGGCAACAGAAACCCCAGCTGACTCCAAGGGCTGCCAAGTACCGAGCAGTAAAATACACAGTGGAGGTAGATCCCAAGGAGACTTGTGGAAGGAGGCCCCAAACCCAAAGGGCAGTACTTACAGGGCACCTAGGCACAGAAACTGAAACCAAAGCAGGAGCCAGAGTCACCTGACCTGCCAGTATGACATCAGCCAAGAACTGCCGGTTGGTTTGCCAGCACGAGGGTCTGGGGGTCCCCCTTTCCCCTCCCAGGATGGGGGGGGAGGTGTGCAGACAGCGGCACAGAGACGAGATGATGACATGCTAGTTTGCTAGATTTGATTTGGGGAATTCTCTCCACTCGTTCCGCTTTCAGTAGCAATATTTTCACCAGAACAGGGGTTTGTTTTGGGGTGCCTACCTTTCTGGGTGCCAGACCCAGTCGATGGCAGAAATAGAATGCTTCCAACCACACAGGGGTTTCTATAGTTCATTGCTCCTTGTACCTCTCTGAGGGGGCAAGTTCTGGCTCGTGGTCCCCGGTAGGCAAGAACTCCATGCACTGACTGATGCCAGAAAGCTAAGTTACATTTCAGCCTGGATAGCTCCGGGGAGCCGACAGGGCTCCCCCGTAAAAATAAAAACTGTTTTCATTAAAGAAATGTAGAATCATGTTAGGATGTGACTAAAGTTTCCAAGATCTTGAACTGGAAACTTACACCATGTACAGTAATGCACAGTGCAATCTTTCTTCAGCAACAAGCTTGTGGAAACTGGAATACGTTACAAGCATAGTAAATTTGAACACAATAAATATATTACCCAGTATACTGTATAACAGACTCGAATCTGGCTCTTGGCTAGGGAAAAATTGAGGGGGCCTTACTTATAAATACGATGTACTGTACATACAGTTTAGAAAATTCTGAATATTTGAAGTACAGTATCAAAAATTAGTCTGGATTTTTCAAGTCAGATAGTGTCAGTCAAGCAGTCAAACAGTTACAGAGAGGAAGTAAGGATCACTTAGGGAATCAGGTAACACAAGATGACAAATTTATTGCCTCAATGATAAGCATTTAGCCCTGTCCAAGACCTGTGTAGTATACAGTCCTCTGAACCATCCCACCAATATCACTTAAGTTAAGAATCTAAACAATGAAGCTTTTAAGTCCATACACACTGCCTATGTGAGACCATTACTCGAGTATGAAGCTCCAGCATTGAACACACACCTTGTGAAGCACCAACAGAAAGTACAGAGGTTTGCAACTAGATTAGTAAAAGAATGAGAGGCCTCAACTATGAGGACAAGTTGAGAAATCACAACCTCACAATCTTAGAGGAAAGAATAAACAGAAGATATGATAACTATATACAAGATCTTTAGGAAAATAGATAAAGTGGATAACGGATGAATATTTAAATTAAATAGAGGTAGGCCAAGGGGACATCGATGGAAGATGGACATGCTGTCGAGTCAGAGAGATGTAAGAAGGTTCTCGTTCCCTATATGGGTGGTAGGCAAGTGGAATGCATTAAAGGAAGAGGTTATTGAAGCCAATTACGTCCACAACTTTAAGAAGAAATATGGTGAACACGTTAAATGTTGAAAGGAGTAATTAGCACTCCAGGTATGAACTACTAGGAAGGGGGGACAAAGAGCTTGATCTCACTCCCCATAGTCACTGATAAATAAGCAATGAGAGAGAGTCACTAATATGTAAGCACCAGTTACCCCTAGTAGAAGCTTTTTTTTATATACAGTACAAGTAAATATCTAAGTACAGGATATAAATGATTTGTATGGCAATGTATGCAATGAATCAAATTTGAATACAGACATAACATTTACCTGTGGGCCTATTGTCCCAGTATTTAGGCCTCAATCTTGTGTATTTTTCAATAAACAGCAAGATTGATATGCTGTGAGGGGTAACAACATCCCTCTCTCTCCTATTTGAGCCTCCATACAGAGAAGAAATAGACTGACCAATCATATTTCTTGAACCTGTTAAGGAAAATAAAAAACCCAGCGTTAAATGTAATGATATGCCAATTTTTGGGCGAGCTCTGGTGGCTCCCTGAAGCTACAAATGCTGATTTAGTGCCCTACTACTAGGTGCCATCAGTCGCGGAGTTCTTTTAGTCCTACCGGGGACCACGAGCCAGAACCTGGCCCTCCCCCCTCTAATGAGGTACAGAGAGCAGTGGCATTTTGATAAACTTGTTTGTGAATTTTAATCATGTCTCCCACCACCAGGAAAGCACCCACAAAGTCAGCAAAACAATACATACTACTTACTGCTGGTTATAAAAATATGAAGACCTTAAAAATCTCTAAAAGAACTACCCCAAATTGGAAACAAAATATAGAAAATTCATGAGACTACCAATAACTCGTTCGCTCCACCTTCCCCCTCATTTGGGGGAAGAAGAAAAGCAGATCGGGTCAGCCAGCTGCTCCTCCCTCTGTTCTATGATGGGAAAAGCCACCCCTGACTTCTTGGGAAAGGGAGGGTATCAGGGAACCATCGGGACTCGCCCAAAAATTGGCATTTTAATATTGGTTTTCTGGAGGAGCCCATTGAGGCTCCCTGAAGCTACCTACCCATGCCTTTCTCAGCATTAGCAGAGAAAGAAAAGATGGGGACTTACCAAGGAGGAGGGAGCACCACAGGTACAGTATCACAACGATGAAGAAAACACAGGCTGTGACATACAACCCCCCAAAGCCATACAAGGCCCATGAGGAGGAGGAACATTAACAAGATATCTGGCTGCTAGGACCCTGTTTGACCTCTAAAACCAGTGCCCAAATATCGGCCCAAGACATATTGGTAAACACAGTCGAAAGAACACAATTTTTAGTGTCACGGGCATAAGGGTAGACCGCAGACTGGCTAGACTTAACACTGTGGACAACCTGAGAAACACAAGCCCTGTTACAAGAGACCAAGGAAACCAGATCATCCCACAATGAGTCCACCAAAGCAGAAGCGGTGGCACAAAGGTAGCGGCGCAGCGTCACCATCAAACACAACACATGACGCACCTCGACCAAACTAACCAAGCGTCCACTACCAAACGACCCCTCCAGAAGCCAACCAACTTATTCTACACCAGAATAGGAGGAGCTGGCTGCTGATAAACAAAACATGCAGGTGTCAAAAGAACAAAAACCCTGGCGCCGAGGGAGAGCATGAAGTTCACCCGCATGACAACAGAATGTGAGCGAGATAAAAAGAGAGCCTTACGAAGGCAATCGTGGACCGAAGGGGATACCATGAAATGAGTGGAAGAAAGGCAGAAGAGAACATGGTCCAAACAAGGAGCACCGGGAACCAAGGCTGAGCCAGCCACTAGGAAGCCAGAAGGGCCACCCTGCCAAGATTCTGAGTAAGAGCTAGATGAGGGGGGAGGGGGGGAAGAGATACAGAAACCCCCACCTTGACCAATCAAGCTGAAAGGCATCCATCGTGAGTCTTGCAGTTGGGGAACAACGCCATATAAAGAGGAAGGCACTATGACCAAGCCGTCACGAAGAGGTCCATGTCTGGGAGTTCGAACATCAGGCAAACGGAAGGAGTTGGCATCGACAGTCCACTCCGTGGAGATGGGATAGAACTGAGAAAGATCATCAGCCAGGACATTGGACACCCCCTGGATGTCAACAGCACAGAGAGCTAAACCCTGAGAATCCAGAAGACGAACTACATGTAGAGTTCAGCTCCAAAGAAACAGGGAACACAAAGAACCCCCCAGGTTGAAACAATGAACTACAGGGAGACATTCTGAATAGAGCTGGACTATGGAGCCCAGAGGGACCCAAACCCTCCACAATGCATGCCATATAGCCTCAAGCTCCTGCACATTACTGTGAACCCGATGGGGGCAAAGAGATCATGGCCCCTGACAAGCTTGGTGAGCACTGGTCACAAATCCACAACCAAGGTCGGAGGCATCAGTGAAAATGAAAAGCGATGGCTGAGGAAGATGCCAGGGGACAGAACTCCGACAAACCCTAAGATGAAGCCGGCGACACAGCAACTGGCAAAGGGCTTCCAGAGTCTGCATCCAGTGATCGCTGCTGTGGCAAAGAGCCGGTTCCGGAGAAACCAAACAGTTTCTGAAGCCAAACCCTGCCCAAGGGGAATACAAGTAGGGTAAAGTCGAGACTCCCACACAGCTGCTCGAGCAACCACCAAATCAAGGCCACTGGAGATTTAGGACAGTGAAGCCGACCGAGCATTCGAAAGGAGACCCTGCCAAGTCCGAACCAGGGATGGAACCAAATGGAAATTCTGCTAGTTCCCCAGAAACCCGAACCCGGTGAGCCGAGAAAGAACCAGATCCGTAGCTAGCAGACAAGCTTACCAGCTGAGAGCCCCACACAACCAATCATCGAGGTAGGCCAGAACTCGAACACCAAGAAGATGAAGGCAGGTCACTGTGATGGGAGAACTCGAAAACAGTAAGCCTGTCGTCCCACGACAAAGCCTAACCAATCCAAATCCCAGATGAATGGGGATGTGCCAGTATGTGTCCCGGAGGTCCAGAGAAATCATCCAAGCACCTGGCTTGAAGATGAAATGGGCCTGGGACATCCAAAAGGAGGGGCAAGGAATGAACCAGTTCAACCCGGACAAGTCGAGGATGAACTGGAGATCTGGAGAATCCTGTTTTGGGGGACCAGAATATACTGTAAACCCTCTAAGGAGAAAGGGTCGTTTCGACCACCTCGAAGAAACACACCCCAGGATGACTTGAAGATGAGGAGAGGTGGCTTGCCCCAATACACCGTACCCACAAAAAAGAGGAAGGACCGACCAACTCTACCATAGGCCACATGAAACAACCCGAAAAGCCCATAAATCAGGGGACCTGGCGCCGACAAACTGGACAAGCCCTACCCCTCCCCTACCACCACCCCATCAAAGGGGTGAACTGTGAAAGGACCAGCATGAACCCTTCGAACCAGACTTCCATAAGGAGCGAGCATGGTGCCGACCAGAGAAAGAACCGACCAAAGGAAGGTTCCTTCAGTTTTACTCTGACCAGCAGAAGATGCCTCCCTAGCCCTGCCAAAACATCTTGAAATATGAGAACAACCCTGAAGACACAGGAAATTCGACAATGGATTCCGACAAGCAGTAGCCACACAGGACAAGTATTAGACCACCTTCTCTGGAAAGAAAGGAGAACTGGAAAGAAGGGCTAGGGCCCACACCAATTCCAAGGAGAAATCCAGCATAGCTTACCGACACACAAGCCAGGAGGCAAAAATCCTGGCCACCGCCTCCAATAGGATAGGGCATACAGCTTAAGAAAAGCTGCTGATGACACAACAGCGGAGACCAAAACCCCAACAAGAAGAGCACTGCTGAGAGCCCCAACATCCTCCAAGAGCCAATCTGAATGCAGCTCCAGAAGGCACAACAAGCACATGACAGCTTCCAGTTGCAAACGAGCACGAAGGTCCTTCGCCACTAGTGAAGCAGACAACTGAGGAACCTGAACATGAAGCTGTAGCAAACCAACATCCCTTTGGAGAGTGGGAGCAAACAGGCAGACATTAAAACACACACAAAAGAAGCGCCACCCAGAAATACCTGCAAAACAGAAGTAGTCTCACACCACTCAAGCTAGTAGGACCAACAGAAACTGTTAAGCCTCAAGTAAAAACAAAGGAATGTCTACCAGCCAGGATGACTCCAAAACCTCATAATGCAACCAATATGGAGAAGAAGAATTGAACTCAAAAGAGGCCGGATCCATCACAGAGGCAAATTCTGGATTAAGCAAGAGGTAAGCACAGATAGCCTCCCAAGCCTCTGCCAGGGAAGGTCGAGAGGTCAGAAATCTTCAGAAAGGCTAATCGGAGGAACGCAAGGTCATCCAGAAACAAACCCTGGGAGCACCCGAACTCATAAAACTCATACAGGGAAAGGGGATACGCTTTACCCTTACCTTGCAATAAAGGGCCCTCCACAGAAGGAACAAGAGACCATGAGGGATCAAATGGGACCCAAGGGTCCATGTCAGACTCCTCCCAAGCCCCAGGAACCCTATCAGAGAGTCCCGGGGGCAGAGCCGTTATCCACACTCACAGCCCAGGAAAGAGACGTGGAGTTCAAGGGAAAGGCTTCAAAGATAAGTGATAGCTGAAACAAAGACCCAGAAGCTCCAATGGGATCAACAGGCTCAACTGCTTCCACCCCCAAGTCGGAAAGGGGGGTGAACCCTGGAGCCGACCATGCCACAATCCAAGCTAGACCGAGCCTCAACCCCGAAACCCTCAGACCCTTCGGGGCCAGAAGCAAGGAGTAAAGACCACAGGAACGGTGCACCAAGCCCAAAGGGTAAGGAAGTGGTGGTTAGGATGGAATCACAGTTGAATTAACCAACACCTCCAAATCCATGTCCCTATTCACCTAGCAAGGTAGCTTCGGGGCATCCAACTGGGTACACAACCTAAACTGCTGTACAACAGAAAATCATAAACGTAAAGCAGTCGCTGCCTGTTAACCCTGCACATCATCACAAGGGTGTGCAAGATGAGTAACATGAGGAGAACAAGTCCCACACAACTCAGGATCGAAGGTGTTACAGGCACAGCAGGGAGTATGGCAGACACAAAACATATGATCATCACCTTGTGGCACAGACAAAACACAACCCACAAACTCGCACAACGTGATAGCGAGTTCAGCAGGGCTATTCATTAGACCATCGAACTAGCAGGGATTTTCCAAGGTCTGCAGGGAATAGCTGTATAGGAAGCCCAGGCACTGGGACCCTGCTATGAAATAGAAATAGGTCCTCCTGAGCAAAGAACCAAGTCTCACCAGGACCAAAGGGAAAGAGAGAAGGATGGACATAAGTAGGTAAAAGTAAACCGACCCAGCTGACCTCGGTGTGCTGTGGTTAGGACATGCAATACCCAGTGCGCCCTGCCAGCCAAACTCCACTCTTGACAGCAGGGAAGACCAAAATCCAAAAATAAACCGACCTAAGGTGAGGACTGCCACAAGCGAGGTACAAAACAAAAGGGAACAAACCCAGAACATTCCAGGGAAGGTAACCCTGAAAGCACATGGGAAGCACTAGAGAACACACGACATGAAAACCCTGTGCACATGCAGCTCCCAGCACCCTATAATCCTGGCTAATGCAACACAAAATTTGCATTGGATCAGCCACAAAGACAAAAAACCACCACTTGGCCAAAGTCAAGAAACTGGAGCCAGAGCCACAGATGACAGCCCAGTCACTAGATACCAATGGTGAAGCAGCCGGATGACCCATTCTGCCTCACCCTTTCCCCCAAACAAGGGGACGAGGTGGGGCAAATGAGCTAGTTCCTTCAGTGATTTTAAGGTCTTCATATTTTTATAACCAGCAGTAGTCTGTTTTGTTATGCTGACTTTGTGGGTACTTCCCTGGTAGTGGTGGACATGATTAAAATTCATTGACACTTTTATCATAGTGCCACTGCTCTCTGCACCTCAGTAAAGGGGAGCCAGGTTTTGACTTGTTCCTGGTAGGCTTGTCCCGCTACTTACCAGGACACTGAGCCACATAATGTAAGGAAGGGACCCTTTTAATGTGTTTCACTGATGAACACTGCAGTCAGTGCACTATAAACTCTCACTAAGGCAGAAGCTAGCATGCAAATGTGCAGTAAGCATATTCACCATGGGTGAACTGTCCTCTCTAAAAGCATGTAAACAAATGCTTCAGTTCTTATAAAAGCACTCCCAGATACAACTGTGATTGGAAAACATTACAATTCAAGTGTTAAATGTAGAAACTCAGTCCAAACCTGTATGTGCAATTGTATATAGTAAACACCTTTTACAGCCTTGGATGATCATGATCTCTGCAATCTTTAAGTACCAGTGCAGTGTGGTATGTGGTGCTTTTTTTACAGAATAGTGTAGGATGTTAGAGATTGGGTAGGATTAGTACTATTATTATGAATGTCCCAACTAACACTGGGAATGTTTTGATTCCAGCCTCTCGTGTGGGTTATGCTATTACTGTACCTCTATGTGGGAATTAATGTATGCTCTGTAGTGAATTCCAAGTATAAAATAACCTATATATGGAACTATAGTTCCATACCACTAGTTATTATTACAGCTCCCTTTGTAAAATCTGTTATAACAAGAGATTCACTTACCAGGTCCTTTTCAGCTCTTTTCAAACTAAAGAGTGGCTAGTTTGGGAAATACAATGGGGCCTCGACTTATGATGCTAATCCGTTTCCAGAGACAGATCGTAAGTCGAAATATCGTGAGTCGAAATATCGCAAGTCGAAGCGACTTTTCCCATAAGAAATGAAGGGATTTGAATTAATCCGTTCCCCACCCTCCAAAATATTAAAATACAAATACATTTTATACTGAATACAATGTTTTTTTCTAACTACAATACAGTACCAAAGTTTCTCTTACCTTTATGGAGGGCTCTTGATGGCGTATGGAAGATGGTGATGAGGGGGGGAGGAGGATAGTTGTTACTGTTTGGAAGGGGAGTCCCCTTCCATTATCACATCAGGCAATGATGTTTTCTCTGGGGTACTCTCTCTCCTACGTTTTGCCTGAATACCACTAGGACCTGGTTGTGGTTCAGTGCTTATTTGTCTCATTACAAATTTGTCAAGAAACATTTGTTTTTCCCTTTGTTTTAACATTAGTCTGTAATGATGCATCACAGTGTCATTGAATAGGTTAAGGCAATGACCTACTGCAGCTTGATTTGGGCGAGTCGTTTCAGCAAAGGTTTGCAATTCTTCCCATGCTGCACACATTTTCTTAATTTTTGAGGAAGAGATTCTCTACTGGCACATCCTCCTCTGAAGAAATTTCCTCAGCTGCCTCTTCTTGCTGCTCCTTTTGAAGGGCTTGGAGTTTTTCGGTGGTCAGATTTTCGTTGTGTTCTTCCACCAACTCCTCCACATTAGCACCATCCAACTCCAAACCCAACTGCCGACCCAGAGAAACAATTTCCTCAACGAGAGGCACTTCAGGTTCAGGCTCAAACCCCTCAAAGTCTCGTTCTGCAACACATTTAGGCCACAGTTTTCTACAGCCAGAGATCATGGTTCTTACAGTCACTTCTTGCCAGGCTTTGTCAACAAGCTTCAGAGCACTATAAATGTTAAAATGGTTTTTCCAGAACTCTTTGAGGGTGAGGTTTGTGGCATCCGTCACTTCGACACATCTCCGGAAAAGTGCCCTTTCATAAAGTTTCTTAAAATTGGAAATGATTTTCTGGTCCATAGGCTGAAGTAGAGGAGTGGTGTTGGGAGTAAGGAACTTTATTGTAAGAAACCCAAATTCCTCATCCAATGAATCCTCCAAGCCTGGAGGATGGGCAGGAGCATTATTGAGGAGAAGCGGGGCCTTGAGAGGCAAACTGTTCTCCTGCAAATATTTTTTGATGGCAGGGCACACCATCATATTCACCCACACACACACACACACGCACGCACAAACCAGCCTACCGCCAACCTCACCCCTCACCACTGGGACTTGACCTTCCATCCCTCACCCCCCTGATTGTCCTCCTTCCTCTCCCCCCCCCCCGCTCTGCCTATTTCCCTCTCTTCCTCAATCTCCCTCACTCCCTTTCACTCCCCTTCACTCCCCCTCTCCCTTTCACTCCCTCTCTCCCTCCCCCTCCATCCCTCCACCAGTAATGTGCGATGTTAGTGCTATCGGTCTGTAATTTTAGTGTGTAAATAGATTGTATATATACATAAATTAGCATGATGCATGGGAAATATGTGCAACATGTTTACACGTGTCATGCACGTAACACAATGTCTTCGGACAGTACGTATGTTCTACTGCTATAATATAGTGTACGTGTTCATTATACATAGGATTGGCACAAAAAAACAAATAAAATGCATTTGGAACTGTGTGCAAAAAATGAACAAAAATATATTCGTGGATTAAGAAATTACCTTCTTAAGATTATATGTTAGAATAAGGATATGCTCAAAACGCTATGCATGCTAGTGGCTTTACAAGAAAGTAAAACTTCAATGCTCTGTACTCATAAACCCAATGTACCATCTTGGATATAAATAAATAAATAAATAAATAGTGATAAAAACGAACAGTGAGCCACAACCAGGTTCTAGTGGTATGCAGGCAATACATAGAAGAGAGAGTACCCCAAAGAAGTCATCACTGCCTGATGTTATAATGAAAGGGAACTCCCCTTCCAAACAGTAACACCTCTCCTCCTCCCCCTTTCCTCACCATTTTCCATATGCCAAGAAGAGTCATCAATAAAGGTCAGCTATAACATATACATACTATAGTACAAACTGTGTGTGTGTATTATGTATGAAATGTATTTTAGAGTTATTATTTTTGATAGTGTGGAACGGATTTATTCAATTTACGTTATGTATTTCTAATGAGAATTTTTTTTCGAGTTACGAATGTTTGAGTTAAGACCCTGTCTCTGGGAACGGATTAAATTCGTAAGTGGAGGGGCCACTGTACAGACACGCTCTTACATTCTTGTACAAAGCACACAGTGTTTCGGGCAAGTCCTTAATCTTCATTTTCCCCTGGAATATAACCCACCAAATCGTTAAACAACCAGGCACCCATTCACTGCTGGGTGAACAGAGGCAACAGTCAAGGACTGGCATAAGGTCAGTCCTCCCCGGCCAGGATACGAACCCCAGGCCAAAGCGCTCGCGAAAAGCCGAGTAAGTGTCTTACCACTGCACCATGGAGACTGCCCTCTGTGGTAGGTCTGTAAAAGACCTACCAAAGACCGCACTCCCAAAGCCCTGGGAGTGAGAGTGGCAAATCATCCGAGGTTAAGTTAGCAATGTACCGAGGTTATTAAGTTTTAGTCTAAGTGTTTTTTTTCCCCACCTCACCTTGCCCAAAACACCATGCGTACTAGTGGCTTTAGGTACTGTATGTAATAGCTCAATCTATAAATCCAACATTATGTTTCTAACTAATCCTCTATGTATGTACTTTTACCTGAATAAACATTTGATTTGATTAAATTGATTTGAGGTTGTAGAGAAAGCCAATAAATATTGAATTAGGTTTCAAATGGAAATCTTTTGCATTTTGAATGGAAAAAAGATTATTCTCACTGTACAATTCAATTTTGTTCTATATTAGAACACTGCATTCAGATATTGTCACTTACAAAAAAAAAAAAAAAAGATTTTGCCAATTTGAAGATGTTCATTATCGAGCTACAAAAAAGTGTCCAGACCAAGTAATAATAATAATAATAATAATCTTTATTTAGGTAAGGTACATACATAAAGAGATTTACAAAGTTTGTTGGCTTTATAGATAGAGCTAGTACATACAATGCCTAAAGCCACTATTACGCAAAGCGTTTCGGGCAGGAAAAACATTAAAACATTAAACATTAAGTGGTAGGCTTCCTCTCAATGTGTCCGAGGTGGAAGGACAGCGAGGGTTCTGGCACTGTCATATTGAAACATTGGAAGAGATAATTTGCATGAAATGCCTGTCCTGAACCAACCTTGAGGGTTACCAGCACTGAAAACCAGACATGACAAGGCGGAGCTCCGCGTATACCTTAGCTGCAGCCGTACCACCTTGTTTGTTTTTCAAAGCACTCGCACGTTCGCAAGTTCATTATATTTTATTTACAACTCGTTTAAAAACTTTTCCTATATTCTAATATTATAATTTAAAATTATTCAATTTTATATTCGTACTGTAAATTATAAGTTAAAGAACATGTGTTTTAACCTTGAAAAATAATTTTATTTTAATCATATTCAATTTTTTTTATTAACAAACTTAATGAATTCTCATTATCTGCTGATGTAGACCAAATGTAAACTGTGGCAACAAAATTATTCGCACACCCTCCGTCACTATGTGATGGAATGCGAAAAGATACGTGAATTTAGAGACAATTCTATAACCAATGTTCCAACGATGTGTAAATATTTCATTCAAAATGATCTGCTACCAGAAAATTTAGCCAAATATCCCCAGTTTGCTAACTGTAGGTAGTAATTGAGTAATTGTTACCTATCCACCGCTGCCCACTGGATGGGGGGCGGTGTGCAGGACAAACATATCAATTGTGACACTAGCTCTCCACATAAAATAAAATAAAATGTTTATTCAGGTAAGGTACATACATACAAGAGATTTTACATAATTTGATCGATTTATAGAGGGAGCTAGTACATACAATGCCTAAAGCCACTATTACGCAAAGCGTTTCGGGCAGGAAAAACATTAATGACTAAAACTTAATACTAATTGAGTATAAAGAATAAAATGTGTTGAGAACAAATAAAAATAAAGATAAAAAAGGGGGAAACATGGCTGAAAACGCAGCACAAATACAATTAGATCGACAAACAGCGTTGATTCAGAAAACATACATGGGTTGACAATAGGGGGGTAAGGTAGGTTACAGGGAATTTATTAGGTAGTGCTTCGTTTTTATCTTAAACTGGTTGAGAGAGGTACAGTCTTTAACATGGTTGGGAAGGTCATTCCACATTCTGGGTCCCTTGATTTGCAGAGCATTTCTAGTTTGATTAAGTCGTACTCTAAGAATATCAAAACTGTATTTATTTCTGGTGTGGTTAGTTTAGTTCATTTATTATGCACCCCATACCCATCTTGTGGGCGGTAGTGGAAAGGGTTACAGAGGCACATAATGGGCTCAGGGACTGAACCCAACAATTCATTTAGCTAAGCAAGTTACAATCTTGATGAGCTAGTTACAAAATTCAATATAAGTCATCACATCAACAATGGGTTCGAGATCGACCTCAAGTACAGGTTCTAAATTAAGCAACTGACATATGTGGAGAGCTAGTGTCACAAGTTATATGTTTGTCCTGCACACCGCCCCCCATCCAGTGGGAAGCGGTGGATAGGTTACAATCACTTAGTTACTACCTACAGTTAGCAAACTTGGGATATTTGGCTAAAATTTCTGGTAGCAGATCATTTTGAATGAAATATTGACACATTGCTGGAACATTGGTTATAGAATTGTCTCTAAATTCACGTATCTTTTCGCACTCCATCACATAGTGACGGAGGGTGTGCGAATAATGGGATTTGTTACAACCTTCAATGAAGCTTTTGAGGTCAGGATTGGCATTACAGTTCAGCGTTTTATATATGTATAATACACATGAGAGAATGTGCAGTGACTTAATATCTAACATATTCAGAGATTTGAGTAGGGGTACCGAGTGATGCCTGGGCCCAGAGTTGGATATTGTCCTAATAGCAGCTTTTCTGACCAGGGGGAGAAAGATACTGGCAGTATGGGGCGTTAAAGTTTATTGAAGATTAAATTCTGCAGAACATGTAAATATATAAAGTTCACATAAAGTAAGTAATTATATAAAGTTTATATTAAACACGGTTTATATTATAGACTTAACAAAGTTGATATTATATAAAACTTAATATTGAACATGTAAATATACAAAGTTTCAAATATAATTTAAGGAATATATAACGTTTATATTAAAATATATAAAGTAAATATATAAAGTAAGAATTAACAGTAACAATTCCAAGGACTAGATTTAACTTAAAAGGTACACCCGTAGTAAGTATGAGACCTTAGCCTATAGTGACATGGAAACTAATTCTGCAGAAACCTAAAGGTTAACTGGTACTAGAATTAAGGCCGAGTGCAAATGTGTAGTAATTATATAACACTAGGATATAACAGGCAGGACACAAAGAATAACTAATAAGTGAGAGACCACATAACACGTAATGTACCCGGCCAAGAGGCCGTAAAAGACCTAATGGATAAGGAGAAGGGGGTGTGACTACAAGTAGGGCTTACTAGCACCTAGACTGGGCAAAGTATTAGCTGCGGACAGCGGGACACTTGGGGACCGGCGCTGCACCCCCCTTCCCACATGCAGTGGGGAGACAATCGGGACAACTGTGCAAAGCATGACGGGGGTACAAAAGCAGCCGCTTGCAAAGGGGGGGAGGGTGGGGTTTTGCGAGGGCAGCGGCGAGGGCAGGCGGAGTGAGGCGGAGCCCCGTTGTGCGCCCGTATTTATACGGCCCCAAACTGCCCGCGCAACGCCGCGGGACGCGCTGCGCAATTGTTTCTTTCTCCCCCGCCAGAAACATCCCCGCTTGTGATGCAAGCAGTGACCATTTGTGTTGAGTAATTAGAGGACGAAAATGATTTTGGGTAGTAGAACCCCAAGCACAAATACCAGGGCATGGTGGGGTACATAATATCTGATCTTAGTTCAAGTTCAAGTTCAAGTATGTTTATTGAGATAAGCAATAAATACATCTCAAAGGGATAGAGTAGCTTAGGCTATTTCTACCCCCCCTCTACTTCAAGTCCCTCAAGGGGCTCCCTAAACGTTAGGTCGTCGGACATCATTATTCCCAAATCCTTGACATGCTGTTTTCCTACTATGGGCAGATTCGATTGTGTTTTGTACCCTGTATTATGTTTAAGATCCTCATTTTTGCCGTATCTGAGTACCTGGAATTTATCACCGTTAAACATCATGTTATTTTCTGCTGCCCAATCGAAAACTTTGTTAATATCTGTTTGTAGTTTATCAATGTCTTCAGCAGAGGTAATTTTCATGCTGATTTTTGTATCATCTGCAAAGGATGACACGAAGCTGTGACTTGTGTTTTTGTCTATATCTGATATGAGAATAAGGAACAGCAGTGGTGCAAGGACTGTACCCTGAGGTACAGAGCTTTTAACTGCGCTCGGACAGTTGGACTCGGTTTTACTTGATTGACTGTTACTCTTTGTGTTCTGTTCGACAGGAAATTGACTATCCAGCGTCCTACTTTACCAGTTATACCCATTGACCTCATTTTGTGTGCAATCACTCCATGGTCACATTTGTCGAATGCTTTTGCAAAATCTGTGTATACGACATCTGCATTATGTTTTCCTCTAATGCCTCAGTGATTTTGTCATAGTGGTCAAGTAGCTGTGAGAGGCATAATCTTCCTGCCCTAAATCCATGTTGGCTTGAATTGTGGAGGTCATTGGTTTCCATGAATTTAGTGACCTGACTCCTGATCTCCTGATCACTCTCTCAAATACTTTTTTTATGTGGGACGTTAGTGCAACTGGTCTATAATTCTTTGCCAATGCTTTGCTACCACTCTTGTGTAGAGGGGCAATGTCTGCTGCTTTAAGTGCATCTGGTATCTCCCCCGTGTCCAAGCTCTTCCTCCACACTATACTGAGTGCCTGTGCTACTGACACTTTGCATTTCTTTATAAATATTGAATTCCATGAGTCTGGGCCCGGGGCTGAGTGCATGGGCATATTGTCAATTTCTCTTTCAAAATCTGCCACGCTCGTGTTGATATCAGTTATATTTACAGGTGTTTGAGTATCATTCATAAAGAAATTGTCCGAATCTTCCACTTTCATGCTGAGTATCGGAGTGCTAAACATGTCCTCATACTGCTTTTTTTAGGATTTCACTTTCATTTCTTTGTCATCCTCAGTGTATGAACCTCCACTTGTACGAATAAATCCAATACTGGCAGTGGTTTTCGCTTTTGATTTAGCATATGTGAATAAATATTTTGGGTTTTTCTTTATTTCCTGAATTGCTTTCTGTTCTAGTTGCCTTTCTTCAGTCTGATAGGAATGCTTCAGTCTCTGTTCGATTTCTTCAATCTCCCTGTTTAAATTATTTCTTCTCTGTATGGAGAGTCGTGTCTGCTTAAGCATTTCCGTTAATTTCTTCCTCCTTTTGTACTGTCGTCTGCGTTCTCTTTCTACATTGGACCTCTTTCTGGCTTTCCTCAAAGGAACATGTTTCAGACAGACTTCATACGCTTCAGAAGTCAGTTTTTCTATTCCTTGTGTAGGATTTTTATTTCTTAGAACATTTTCCCATTGAATGTTTGTAAGTTCCCTGTTTATTTTCTCCCAGTCTATCCTTTTATTATTAAAATTGAATTTATTGAATAGCCCTTCTCGCTTGTTGTTTCTCTTGGGCCTACTATCGTTATTAATGTTAGTTTGCACTTCAATGAGCTTGTGGTCCGAGTACGTATAGTGTCTGAGACAGTAATGTCTCTGATTAGCTCCTCATTGTTCGTGAATATCAGGTCCAGCGTGTTCTCGTTCCTAGTTGGTTCTGTAATCTGCTGACTGATAGATAGAGAGAGTAATAGAGTGTCACCAGGGCAGGGCGAGGTACATAATATCTGATCTTAGAAAGAATGCCAACAGTTTTTGAAACTTTTTTTGATATATTTAGAATGTGTCCCTGGAAATTCAGCTTGCGGTCAATGAGAACGCCAAGGAATTTGCCATCTACTTTGTTACAAATTTGGGTATTGTTTATCCTGAGATTGATTTGATTTGAGGATTTATTGCCAAACAAAATATAGAAAGTTTTGTCAATATTGAGGATGAGTTTGTTGGCAGTCAGCCAGTGATGGACTTTATTTAGCTCAGTATTCACTGTGACATTTAGAGCAAGGGGGTCAGGATTGGAGTAAATGAAGGTCGTGTAGTCAGCAAATAGAATTGGTTTGAGATGTTGTAAGGCGTTTGGGAGGTCATTAATGTAGATGAGAAAGAGGAGAGGGCCAAGTATGCTGCCCTGGGGAACACCAATGTTGATGGGTAGGGT